TAACGGAAAAAAGTGTCAGAGAAAAAATTGGTTTTTAGTATTTGGCTCTTTATATGAATATCGTTCAGTAAGAAAACCCCCAGCACAAATTTTTTGACATTTTAATGAGATCGAAACTTGGAACCATAAAAAAAACAGATTTGCTGATGTCATATAGAAGCTCTGCTCACCCTTATTGATTAATATTATTCTTTGCTTGGTCAAAAAAAGCAACACACAAAGAAACAACGATCGTCGGATGCTGTCGTAGAATTAGCACAGAGTGATTCGATCGAAATTCCTTATTTAAAAAAATCAAAAAGAAGACAAAATCAGCTCTTTTTACTTTGTTCGCGAAAATTCAATATCTTAGTTTGAAACTACAATAATGAAAACTAAAAGTAGCTAAAAAATTGTTCGATTTGTGGAAGAATTATAGTGACTAGGAATCCACACTCAGACAATTTTTCTTCTTTTTTTTTCAGAATCCGAACCATGACTATCAGGGCTTTTATGTGATACCACACTTGAGCCTTTACAATCTTTTCTGGAGTCTGGAAAAAATTGAGCGAAAAAAGCCCCTATTCACACTTATTTTCCACTCTTCGAGAGTGTTTGGAACAAAAACTTATCAGGATTGATAAAAAAGTGTAGCTGTTCTTTTTCAGGCGTACATCGCGCGACGAAAGCCAGCTAACACATTGAATATGAAATGGGATTGATTGAAACTTCATTTTATAGCCAAGGAAAACTTTTAAAAGTTTTTATGCTGAAATTTTTCTCTGAATTTCTCTGAATTTTAAGAATGGAGATGTTAAATATATTTTTAATCGATGCTTAGCTATATAGTTGAACTAGTATCAGTTTATCTTGCATTATCTATCTTCATCAATTGGTCTGAGATTCGAAAATTCGTTCTCTGCGTGGTTATTAATTCGACTTTTCTAACCAAAGTAACGAAATATTTGTGCTCTGGTGGCTTTTTTCTTCAGACAGTTTTCAATTTTTTAACTAGACCTTTCTGACGGTTCGCTTGTTAATTATAAAAATCTTAAGTTATAAAAATCTTACACGTACAAAAACTGAAAATTGAAAACGTGAAAATTTACCATGAAGGAGTTGTTGTTAAGCTTACATAATGCGTTTTTTGCGATGTTTGTTCGAAGGACGTACTTTGGTTCCGGGAGATTGCTCGATATTAAGAAATTTCAATTTTCAATTTCACCATTGAGACACCAAAGGCAAAATCACTTTTCTGAAGAAAAAAAAAACGTCTCCAGAGCATCTCAAAGCTATTTAAATGTGTTAAAACTCTTGTCTGATTGATTGGAAGCATTATTGGACAGATTGAGATTTAAAAAATCAGAATTTTTTTCCATTTTTTTCGTTTTTTTTTTTCAATTTTTTTTATTTTTTCAAGATTTGACATCAATTTTTGAAGAATTTTTTCAGCCCAGTTTATAAAGGATAGGAGCTAGCATAGGAGAACAGAAAAGGTCCCGTTAAACAGTTGTGTATCTTAATCACATCAAAAGTTATCGGTTTCTGAGCCTCGAATAGTCAAACTCCTATTTTCAGAAAATTAGGAAAATGATGAAAATATAATATATTTTTATTTACTTCAATTTTTCACCTTGCAGTTTTACAATATTTTTATGTCTCATACTACGCCTCAACTGAAAAAAATATATATTTAGGCTATCGGTTCTCCCCACCATAGGAGAAACAAAAAGGTCCCGTTAGTCGAGCTTCTATCTTGTTCACAACAAAAGTTGTTAGGCTCAGAACTTTATATAAACCGTTACCAGCAAACCTGAAATTTTACTTTTTCCCCTACATTTGACGGCGGTGGTTAAGAACAATTTGCATTATATACCTGCTCAACTTAGTCACTTTAATCCAAATGTATGAAAACGTAGGTTTTTAGGAAAGAATTGAAGGTAAACTTATCTACTTGAAATGGATTAGTCAAACCACCAAGTATTAGTAATGATTTCCTTAACAGGACTGACTAATTTAATCACAAAGGAAAACAAGATTATGAAGAAACCGCCATTAATCACCTTCAACCCACGCTTTCGGTTAGATAATAATTAAGACCCCAACCACAAGCTAAAGTTCACTTATGACTTTTGCTTTCTCATCTTCAACAGTTCTTAATTGAAACAAACAAAAAAATATATCTTCAATTCAAAATTGAATACATCAAAAACACAGTAAAAGTAACAACGCCTAACTCTTCAGCGTTTTCTTCAAAACTTGGAACAAAAATCAACGAAATAATTTTTTTATGAACTAAGATTTTTAAATTCTGAATTCTGAAGTCTAGAAACTGTTCAGTAGCAAGGATCAAAGTTTTGAGAGCTTTCTCTTTTCGACTAGCTCTGTGGAAATAACAAACTGGTCTGCGATTTCTTAAAACTTTTTTCGATGAGAGTAATGGTTCAACGGTTAACTTCTTGGTAAATTTTAAGATTAAAAACCATTTGGCTTGAATGGCGTTTAAAATTTACCCAGACTAACATCAACATAGAAAATAAACAAAAACTTATCAGGTTTTGAAGCCCAGATGTTTCAGCAGCTGAAACTTACTCTCTTTCCTTTTTTCGACCGACACTTGCAATCCCTCCTGCAAAACCTTTCAAGGCAAGTTTGAAAAAATATTATTCTCAAAATTTAACTTCTTCGTTAACCGCACCAACTGGTTCTTTCATTCACGATTGCAAAACTGAAATATGGAGAAAACAAGCACTCAGGTTAGTTTTAAATGTATAAAGCACAATGACGCGCAATGACGTATCTAGCTGCATCGAATTTCAACCTAATGGAAGCTTTAGTTTTGCGGCATTTTTGTATAAAAAACAGAGACATCGATTAGTAGCCTATTAGAATCCGTCGTTTTGCGGCATGAGTAAACTCTCGGGTAAACGAAGATGATCAAGCCTGAACATGAGCACCTTTCGAACTCCGAGAAGAAATCTTTTTTTTTTCAAAATGTCAAAATGTGGGAAGCCTTATATGGCGGGATGATTACTTATTTAACTACTCTTACGCCTTAACCTGACGAATTATGTTGCCCCTTAAATATCACAAACTGAACTATATTTGTGGAAGTAACCCTAAATTCTTTAAAAAAGCATCTACAGCTTAACGGAAAACAGTGGCAGAGCAAAAATTGGTTTTTAGTATTTGGCTCTTTATATGAATATCGTTCAGTAAGAAAACCCCCAGCACAAATTTTTTGACATTTTAATGAGATCGAAACTTGGAACCATAAAAAAAACAGATTTGCTGATGTCATATAGAAGCTCTGCTCACCCTTATCGATTATTATTATTCTTTGCTTGGTCAAAAAAAGAGCAACACACGAAGAAACAACGATAGTCGGATGCTGTCGTAGAATTAGCACAGAATGATTCGATCGAAACTCATTATTAAAAACAAATCAAAAAGGAGCCAAAACAAGCTTTTTTTACTGTATTAGAGAAAATTCATTGAATTAGGGTGAAACTACAATAATGAAAACTAATAGTAGCTAAAAAAAAACGTTCGATTTGTGGTAGAATTATAGTGACTAGGAATCCACACTCAGACAATTTTTTCTTCTTTTTTTTAGAATCCAAACCATGACCATCAGGGCTTTAATGTGATACCACACTTGAGCCCTTACAATCTTTTCTGGAGTCTGGAAAAAATTGAGCGAAAAAAGCCCCTATTCACACTTATTTTCCACTCTTCGAGAGTGTTTGGAACAAAAACTTATCAGGATTGACAAAAAAGTGTAGCTGGTCATTTTTTAGGCATACATCGCGCGAAGCAAACCAGCTAAAACAATTGAACATCAAGAGGGATTGATTGATACTTCAGTTTATAGCCAAGGAAAAATTTTCAAAGTTTTTATGCTGAAGTTTTTGTCTTAATTTTTACAAAAGTTATGAATGGAGATTGCAAAAACATATTTTTAATCGATGCTTAGCTATATAGTTGAACCAGTATCAGTTTATCTTGCATCATCTATTTTCATCAATTGGTCTGAGATTCGAATATTCGTTCTCTGCGTGGTTATTGTTCCGACTTTTGTAACGAAAGTAATGAAATATTTGTGCTCGGGTGGCTTTTTTCTTCAGAAAGTTTTCGATTTTTTAACTAGACCTTTTTGCCGGAAATTTTTAAATATCAATCAATAGATATTGTTGTCATGAGTTTAAATTTGAAAAAAAAACATATTCCACCTGTGATCATTTTTTGTAAGGTATGGGGGTTTAATGATTGCCATTTTGGCCAATTTGGGACAATTAGCGCGCGATATATTTCGCGCATTGAACGAGTAATCGGAGATTTAATCCATCTCAGAAATAGTTCCAAATTGGTTGATGGAAAAATATTTGCCATAATTGTATTGCTACTAGGAGCGAAATCTATCACTTTGTACTTTATATGGCGTGTAGGAGGATGATTTTCAAAAAAAATCTCAAATTGACAAAAAATTGAAAAAAGAAACGAAAAAAAAAGAAGTTTTGTTACATTTAATTTTTCTTGTTATTACTGCTCCATTAACCTTAAAAGGCAGTTGGAACATGTAGAGCTTCGCCCTGACACGAGCAATCATGTTTTTCGTCGGAACAAATTTTCAATTGCACAATATAAAAAACAAGCTAAAGTTGCGAGACTGTTTCGAGAAATGTAGGAATTTGAAAAAATACCAATTTGGTTGCTGATTTGGGACAGATAACGCGCTAGTCAGCAGAGAAGTAATCCGTTCTATCAGCAACACGAGTTGATCCGGCTCATAAATCATTGCAAATTGGAGTAGGCACGCTATTTGGCCATATCAAAATGTTATCAGACATAATTCAATCAATTTGCAAGAATTAGTTGAAATAAAACGAGGTTATGCTTAAAAAAGGGAAATATGGCAAGACTGGTTTGAAAAAAGATCCATTTATAGTATTCAAGTTTGATCCTTGTGGATGGTTGATAACAAAATGATGCTACGAAAAAGAGTAACTTGTGCTTTTCAGCGCTACCCTCGTTGATAGAGATTCTTGGAAAGGGTTCGACCAAAAAACAAGTGTTATCATACGATGGGAGAGTGATTGCATTCGATCAAGACGTAACAGGTGTTTTCTCATGCAGAATCAATGTACGCAAATTCCCCTATGATGAGCAGGAATGCCGCTTGAGACTGATGAACCGAATGCCTCATCGTAATTGGAATATCACAGGTGTGCTCTCAAAAAGTGTTTATTTTTAGCAGTTTTTTCCCGCAAATAAGGATCCAGCAAATAAGGATTTTCCCTGTTTTTGAGAGCTATCAAATTTTATTTGGATTGATCTGAAGGCAGTCAAGTCAACTAAACTGGCTAACACTGTTTTAAGAAAAACCACATTGCAAAAATCCTTGATCATCGCTTGAAAGGACAAGTGGGCTATGTGGTCGAAATGAGTGGCAAACTCGAACATTCTATCACCCAAACAAATGTTGGCAAGAGAATTGCCGATAAAAAAAACAATTCAAAAAAATTTTCAGCTGGTTTTCAAAAACTTAAAGAAAAAATTTTTGATTTGTTGAATTCAACATTTAAAAAAATGTGCTGATACAAAACCTGACTCAGAAAAATTGTGCTTAAAAGTCAAAAAAGCACAAAGATCCAGGGAACAAAGTTCAATGAGATTAAGCGAACTTCAGTTTTATTTCAGTATGAGCTTAAGAGAACTTCCGTTTTATTTTAGTGAACCCAGTGATGCAGGATCAATTTTTGTCTTCTTACGAGGACAACTATCAATGGCAAGTCATCAAACCAATGCGATTCAGAGTAGTTAAGTCAAATTCCTATGAACAAACGGGGGTCGAGTTAACAGTCCGGTTGAAACGGCGCTCCATATTTTACGAGTTCTTCCTCATCACACCAAGTTTAATTCTCTACATCTGTTCGGGTTTTGAGTTTGCAATTCCGGTAGAATCGGGAGAGAAGATTTCATTCATTGTGACTATTCTGCTGGCCGAGATGGTCAACTTCGGCATTTTGCAGGATATTTTCCCTCCGAGCTTCGACGAGTTGCCGCTTCTAGCAGAGCTCATCGCGTCTCAAATTATACACATAACTGCTCTAGGAGTCATTGCTATTATTGGTACGTACAATTTATAATAAAAATAGCTGATTAATAATCTTAAATTAGCAAAAAATTAGCAAAAAAAAAGAAACAAAGAAAATTAACCGTTAAACATCACCATCACCACGTCATTTATCAGAAAAATAATCTTTGATTGAGTTGTAAAAATAATTTTGTTCCTGGGAAATTGAAATTTTACGGCAAGAGCTACTTATATTTCAGCTATACACATTTACCACAACAACATTGGATTGGAAATGCCAACGTACCTCGTCAAGATAGTATGCAGTAAGAAAATGAGGTACATCCTCATAGTTCCACTGGGGATACCAGAAAAACAAAATGCTAGTCAGCCAACTGAACAAAGTGGCAAAGAAGAAGATGGGACCCAATTGAATGACAATGGAGCTCGTCGGCTGCAACAGGAGTTGGAGAAGTTTTGCAAGGATGAAGAGACTTCGTCAGAAGATGCCCGAGACAAGCTGAGAGACAGTCAGTGGAAGAAAATGTCTGCAGTTATAGACCGAATAATGCTGATTGCTCACTTCATTATAGTTACTCTCGTCATTTTGTATTTCATCATCAAATACCAATTCGAATAGAAGCGGAATAAGCTCACGGTCATTTTAAATTAACGCAGTAACCATTAAAAGCTTTCGAGCATAAACTCGATTATCTTGCATTTTTTAAGTCTCTTACTCAACTAATTCGACTATATTCTAACGGGTTTGGGGTGATTTAGTTTGGTCGATATTACATAAAACTTGATTTGTTTAAAAACTTTATCTATAATTTGAATTGTTAAGAAAATGCTCTCATTGAAAAAATTTTTGCGCGCTCTAAATAGCACTCTATTCCATTATTCAAGTCCATTGGTTGTTATAAATCACCTGAGTCACCCATTTTATTGGTAACATCGCCTCTGAGTAATTTGCATGCAAATTCTTGATTTATTAAATGACGAGTTATTAAGTAGGCACTCAGTAGACGGGTCTAAAAAAAATTAATCAAAAGTATGGCTGGCAGAATTAAGTTTGCTCCGCTTTCAAGTTTTTGCCATGAAAGATTAACGCTGAAGTCCGTTTTGGCTCTAAAGAATCGCCGAAAAAGCTAGTCTTGGCTAAGTTTTTTCTGTGCTAATTTTATTTATTAGCATAGTATCTATAATAAAAGCTGTGAATCAGTAGCGGGCTTAGGTACGGTTGACCGTGAACACCCAAAGAATCCCCTTTGGTACTATTTGGAAAAAAAAATCCATTTTTGGCTGAGTAACCCTAAAACTTATTCTAAAGGCACTTTTGGCGCCAAAAAATATTTACTTTTCAAGAGTGAAAAGTAAAATATTTCTTTTCACCTAGTTTTCAATTTTTTACTTTTCAATTCGCTTTGCCAAAAAAAAACTTCCTAAATCAAAACCTAAAAGGTGCACATAAACTCTTTTCGACCTTCTTCAAATTCAAAATAAGGTTTTTATGGTGGTTTGGAAAACTCATTTAGGTCGACCGAAAAAGTTTTGGTAGACACGGGCTTTAAAAAAAACTGTTGAAACCACCCTCTCTCAAATCATTCCCACTCCTAACAAGAAAATCCTAGCTCCAGACCTGCTGTGACTAACTTGAGCTGCAGTTATAGCTACAGTTAATGCAGGAATTTGCTATCTTGTTATTTTGAACAAATGGTTTAATTGAGCTAATAGAAAGAATGAATAGACGGTGTACAAATTAATGGTTTAAAAAAACACAAATTTTTTTTGTCTCTTGTCTCTTTTTTAATCAACCAGCCTGGAAATCTAACCCAAAATTTAATTAAAGAGGTAAGAGCGCATAAAATCCGCGCCCGCTTAAGCTACGACTTACTTGCATGAGCTCCCTTTGCCTATTGCAGCACACGAGCGATTTGATCCAGCATCCATATCATTGCTGGCACTATCGGTACCGAAGCGTCACAATGCCAAATAACGTTTAAAAACACATAAAAAATCCGTTTTGTTCTTTGTACATAACGTTACATGAAGCCCAAAATTAACAAACAACTTTGAATTGTATATAATTTAGATGTAGATAGATAATTAAACAGCCTATATTACAAAGATGACGACTGACTGACTTCGCTCTTGAGTAAAAAAACGTAATTAACACCAATTTTTTGTTCAAACTCTTGTTGGAATTCGATTGATGGCCGAAAGAAAATGTATATTTATAAGTTATTCTGTCTTCCTTTTTTGAAGCCGGGCGTATTATTGCATTGTTATGTTTTACGTTTTATAAACGTTTTGAGTTAGATCCGAGTTGGTTAACTCATAGAGTAATTTCGGATAGGGTACACCGTCTGCTCGTCACGCTATCTTATTTTCGGCCGGATAGATTCGTGCAACTTCTTAGTCTAATACCGATCCTAATCTTACTCTTATACTATCTAGTCTCAGGTTGTTTAACTAGTCTCTGCTAGGCTCAATAGATCTAGGGTATACTGGTTTATTGCGGCTGCTGAAGTGCTCGGGAGAGTCCAACTAATTTCTAAGTTAAATTCAAATCTCTCTGGTGCTGAAATTACAAGTAACTTCAGCACTTACAAATAAGTGGGTTGTTAGTTAGATGGATCATGATTGGTTAATATTAAATACTTTACATTGGTAAAATATCTAAATTATCCAATCATAAAATGTAGTCTAGATCAGGTTCCACCCATCCGGGTTTTACAGAGTTTTTTAGAATAGTTCTTCTGCAATTCGAAGGATGGATGATGGACGTTGGTGTTTGGCGAACATCATATTTCTTCTGTTTCCTCTTTGTTAAAGAAGTTCCAGGGAGCTGGAGTTAGAGACATAAGACGTTGTGTCTTCTAGTGACAACGACTAAGTCTTTGCAACAAACTCAAATCTGATTTCAGAATGGTTTGCTATGTCAGGTTTTTCTGTTCTGCGTGGAGAACTTCTTTTGTGTCTGATCTAATTTGGGAATGGCGTGGAGATTGTGCGTGGAGGGGATGCCTGGTTACTCGGATCTGTACGTATACTTGAACATCGAGGTGGTCATTGGTCTAGTTCAAGAAGTCCTTTCTGCGAAGTCAAGTCGTACTCTAAATCCTTTGAGTTGTGATTGTGAGTGGCATATCGATTGTGGTTGGCCATTCTCTCTCGAGTGTAGTGGGGTCGTTTTGTCTTTAGATGTTCGTCCTTGGTGTTGTATTCTGATCTATGTATTGCATAATGTAATTTACATTTTATAAAACATTTATTAGTTTAATATTTTTTAATTATGATTTTAGTTAGTTGTTTTCACAAAAGCTTTTTGTTTTAGTTCGGTTATTTTGAAGAGTTACTCACACTTGAGTAGCTCTTATTAAAAATAGAGGTGTGGTCACAAAGCGTGGATGTAGCGCGGTGGGTTAGGCCGGCTATAGAGCATGCTCAGGACGTCCTTCCTGGTGGGTTAGGCCAGGAGTGGGAGTATGATTTCATGCGGTTTTTGTGAGGGGTCCTGTTATGTGACAACGTTTTATGTTGGGTTTGTTGTGGTTTTTCTTATGTCTTGTTGGTTATGTCCTTTTTCCAAAAAGCAAATTGTTCGTGGTATGGGTTTGTCTTTCGACTTTTTTGTGTTTTATTATTTCTTTCTTAGACTTTATAATAGTCTTCAAAAGAATAAATTATCCAGTTTTAAACTGGGTTAATCCGGTTTGGGTACCGTTGGTTTCCTTTTCTTAGTCATGCTGTTATTCTATGATTTGTGGTATTTAGTAGGCTGCGTTGGTTAGTTTTGTTTAGTATATGATTCCTTTCCAACCGGGTTAAAGGAAAGTTTGAAACATGTTATTATATGTTAGAGTTGTTGAGTGTGAAAACTTGAAACTGAAATTCATTATTTTAAACAATTCTTCGTGGGCGAGCTGTGCGAGTGTGGATAGAATTTCTGTGCGAATGAATGAGAATATCAAAAGGTTAGTACTGCATTTGCATTTTATTAATTTACTGCATAGAATTTGGAAATTTACTGCTAGTTATGGGGGAATTTTAAGTTACAAATTTTCATCATAATTAGATTTACTGCTTGTGGGGAAAATTTTAGAAATGAATTTACTGCATTGTTATTAAATTTATAAATTTATAAGTGTAAGAGATTAATAGAATTGTTGAAATCTGTTTGATGAAATTTGCGATCTTTATTTGTTTTTTGTGGTTTTTGTAGGTGATCGTCGGATGAAGACTAAAAATCTAAAGAAAACATGGATAAAGAATGGTGAGTTTTTAATATTTTAATTAGTTAGTAATATTCATTTAATTCATACTTACCTGTTAGTCGTCGGGGAAAAAACCGTGGGGGAAGATGTCGTGGATGAGATCGGAATTTGTTAGTAGTTTAGCTAAGATGCGGATGATATTTTTAGTCTGAAGCAGTGGCCAAAGCAATTGAAGTGCCTTAATAGTGGTTAGTTCTTCAGTGCCAACTGCAAAATCATAAGGTGTGTTTTGGATTAGATTATATAATTTGTGATTGAATTTAGTGTTGTGGATGAATTCTAAAATTGGGATTTCTATAGGTTGTACAAACTCGTGCGGGATAAGGAAGGGTCGGGATTCTTCGGCGTTGAAGGTCTTGGTGATGGGACAGAAGATGTACATTTGGGTTATGGGATCATAATTGCGAAGAATACCATGAAGGTTAGTATCTTTAATGCAATATGTGAAATTTAGGAAAAATGGTGAAGTGTATTTGGAATTAATGAATTGAAAACGATGGTGTGGTTGTCTAGAAGGTGTGTGTAGGTCAAAGTGATTTTGGATGAAGCGATAATAACTATATGTGTGGGTTTGTTTAGTGCGCAACATAATATCGTGTGAGCAGTGTAAATCTCTTTCGTGTGGTGCAAGGAAATGAAAGGTTAGTGAAAATATTTGGAAGCGTTCTTTAAAACTTTCGTATGCTTGTGTGTCTGTTAGTGCTTCTGAAATAATATGATCAAACTTTCGGTCGAAGATGTTTAGTGTAAATATATATGGTGTCTTGATGAAAAATTTCTCGGTAATTTGTGGATTAGCGAAGCGATCGTCGTCTAAGAATTGATCTTGGTTAGTTCTGATGATGTTGTGATCATAGTATTCGAGTGTGTATTCGTTAGCTCTAGGTGCAGTGTGTGTTTTTAGTGATTTTTTATATCCAACGTAAGTAAATTGTCTAGCGGTTAGTGGTGTAGTGAGTCGATATAGCATGTCCGTATTTCGCTCTATATCGATGTGAGTGTTAGATAAAGGTAAGCAAAGAGGGTTAGTAAAATGATAATATGAGGTCCAAGAGAGAGTGGGCATTAAAACGTATTCATCTACAAAGTTGCGTGTTTCGTTAGTGTCGTGGGGGGTGTTTAAGGTGTATTGTGGGAATGAGGGTAAGGTGATGGCTAAAAATTATTTTGTGTTAGTATGCTTGGGGTGGTTGATGTATTCACGGGCTGTTCCTGGTTTTGCTGGGAAAGGATGGTTGGGGAACTTTCTTTTAAAAGTGCGGTAAGCTCTATTAGTGCTGAGTGAAGATTCAGTAGTTGTGGATGATGGTGCTAATGATTCAGTATAAATTGAAGAGGGTGTAGGGGTAGGAGGGTTGGATGAATCTATTGTGGAGGAGATTTGGTTTATGGTTGGGGTATTAAGGTGGTAGGGTTGTTGTTGGAGGGTAATAAAATTATCTAGCTCTGGGGAGATTCGGGGGGTGTCTGGAGAATGAGATGATTGGTCAGAATGGTATGAGGAGTAGGTTGGGGTAACTTGGGAAGCATAAGAGGGTGTGGAAGTGATTGGGTCAGGGTTATTGGATAATAT